AGGTTATGCCATGCTTTTTTCTAGAACAGCTGCAGAACTTTCCATATTGTATCACTGGCTTATATCATTCCATGTAGTACAGAAAAGAGTTTGTGGGAAATAGAGGTATGTCTCAAATGAAACCAGATATAAGATTATCAGCTAAGGTCACTGTGGTGTGGTTAGTCTCCTCTCAATTCCCAGTGGGTCTGTCTTCCAGAATGTTGAAGTTTATGTGATTAAGGGAACGTATACTGTTATTACCATAGATGTCATTGTTTTGAAAGACTGGCTATTGTCATACTCTACCATTCTTTTTTCAAAAATTACTGAATTAAACTGATAAAATCTGAAGGAAAGATTACTGAAAGGAAATTATAGTGATAGTAGTAATAGCAAACAACTATAGTTTGCTTGCTATATGCCGGATGTTAGTCTAAATGCTTTATATACTTATTAACTCATTAAATCTGCTCAATAACCCTATGACATAGGTTTGTGGTTATCCTCATTTTCTAGGTGAGGAAACTGAGGAGCAATGAAGTTAGTGACCCGTCTGAATCACATGACATAAGTGGAGGAGCTAGGATTCAAACCCAGGCACCCACAGTCTCAACCACCGCAGCTTTCTGCCTTGGGAAATGGTGTAGCACAAAGGTGCACGGGAATCTGGTGCAAAAGCCGTGGATAAAGTTGAGGCAACAAAAGTCTCACTTTTTAGAACACAGATGAAGTATGTAATCTTCTGTTTTAGGTGAAGATTCTGAGGATGATTCTGATTTTGGTGAGGGTGGAGATAATGATGAAGAAGACTTCACTATGAGGAAAAGTAAAGTTAAAGAGGTTAAAAGGAAAGAAGTGAAGATAAAATCCCCAATGGAACAGAAACAGAAGAAATCTAAATCCAAATGTAGTGCTTTGGGTAAGCTTGGTCCAAAACACTTATTTTTATAAAGAAAATGTATTTGGTTTGTTTGCTGTATTTTTCTCATCTTGTCCTTTGTTCTCTTTAACATGTTGCTAATGTTCATTTCTAGTTAAAATACATAAAAGAAAGCAGGGTAGGATGGGGGAAAGGAGAAAAGCAGACTAGAATACTGAGCCCCACCACCTAGGCTGGCACTTACTATGTCATGCTTTGCTTTAGTGCTCACAGCCACCCTCTGTGGTGTCACCTGCATTTTATGGTGAGAAAACAGGCTCAGAG